GTAGTAACGCTAGTACAAGTAAAAACAAGTAAGAGCTCTAAAGTCAGGCAAGGCCAACTATCAGACACCATACATCACTTCGCTTCCAACAGACATTCATTCATTTTCGTCATAACACGTAAAAAATGATGCATTATTTTTATGTGGAGGCGTAATTTTCGTGAGGGCTCTCATATTCGAGGATCTTCAAAACGTCAACTATGCAAATGCAAATGATGCAAATTTAGCAAAAACCGCAATTTCCACTTTTTTCTACCATTCAGTTAGGCTTTGTCGATGTAGAAGTGTTTGCTTTTCATGAGCGACCCTTTGTTTAGTTAGAGCGAAGTGAAAGACATATTTGAGCCAAAGTTTATACCGAATTACTCTTGCAAATCGATTTTCATCTAAAACTGTTTTTATGACGTGGAAGTCAGAAAATAGAGCTACGTTATCCATATTCGGTGAGATTATTTTTCATGAAAAGTTTTAATTATGCACAAATTTTCATCAAAAAAATATTGAAAAAGATGTCTTTTGACCATATAAAGATTCGGTTTCCATAGGAACGTGCATAGGGGAGGGGGTTCATAAAATTGCTTTATCCGATCCATATGTTTCACATCAATTTAGAACGCCTAAATGCTATTACTCAGTAAAATTAGAATATTTTTTCATATAACGGTTTATCAAAATAAGGCGTTAGTGGTCGAAAAAGTGATTCGTTTCGAATCATTTTCAATAGCATTCGTCCTATTGCCAAAACCCCGCAGCATACCAAATTTCATTAAAATGTCATGAAAATGGACAGACATTAGACGGCCAGACAGAGAGATAGACATGAAGTGATCCTAAATCAATCGGGATCGAAAGTGATCCTGAATCAAAGGGTACAATAAAAGATGAGTTTATCTCAAGTCCTTCTGGCTATTACATACGTCCTCGTAAATTTTATACGCCCTGTACCGCAAGTTACGTAGGATATAAATAAACAAAATCTATATTAGTTGATTAATGAAGGGAATAGTTTTCTAACTTACTCGCTTGTAAGCGTAGAAGGGTACGATCAGATGGTGCGTATATATGCAATCCACAAAGGGACTTTAGAAGGAGCCAATATTAAAAATGATTTTCTGAATCAATTGAAGCTTATCTGTCGGTCTGACGGATCCATGTATTTTTATATTTAACCTTCAGGCTCGGATTCAACTTCTAAATTACCTTATTCCGATTTTGAGAATAAATTGAATCGAACTCTACGTATATCACGCCATAGTCTGGAAAAATCATTGTACGGAAAAAATTTGCATTATTTCATATTTGTCCGTGACAATCGAAAAAAATATTACTTTGCCATATCCTGTGAATGCGTAAAATATTGATCGGATGAAAGGCTTTTTGGAACCTCCCCCTTCCCAATAAGCGTTCTTTTAAAAAAAAATGGGCGCATATATAATTAGAAAGTTGGTTTACAAAAGAGATTTGATATATAAATTTACTGCCTATTTTTGTTGAACCCCTTTTCCTATATACAGATGCTCTCAGGAAGGGAAAGGAAAGCTATATTTAACAAAACGAGATCTAATATTTGGCATTTTATGATGATGGAATAGACGAAGAGTAAGGAATTTTGTGATAATAAAATTTAACTGTAACTTTAACAGAACGCCATCCATTCAGTTGTTTTGTCTTCATCAGCGTAAGTGATCTGATGAAAAGTAAGCCTTTATATAGCAACAACACGATATAATTTCGGTTTTTCTTCAAAAAATATTAGTAGACAATGCTATTAAATGAAGTAAAGCAAAGCATTAAGTAGTCGGCCTTTTGCCGACTGGAATTTCCTTTTTTTCTCTGCAGTACACTCTGCACACAAGGTTCGATCTTTGTACGATTCTAGCAATAAAACTCATTCAAATAATACTTGACGACGTCCAAAAAGAGCTAGTAGTAGTAGTAGTAGTAGTAGTAGTAGTAGTATTCAAATTATTTTGTCACGTGCGAACCAAGATATTAATTTCAAATTTCAAACTCTGAACAAGTGCCTTGCTCCGATCATTAGCTTTAAAAGGGGTCTTAGCAAAGAATCGCAAATTGAAATGCGATCTAATAAAAGTTTTCGCTCAGTTTTAACGGTAGCCAAACTTGAAGGTTTTTTCTTTTTCTCTTGCGACCCATCACGGATCTATTAATTGATTTTGTCCGAGTCAAATGATCTCAGTAGCATAATTTAATTATATACCAACAAAATTAATTGCTTTGTGGTAACATTTCGAATAAGTGTGTGCTTTAAAGCTTCGTACTTCTCCTTTCAATCAGATTATGCCAGGATGTTAACGGATAGTTGTCTTTTTCATATCTGATTTACGAAATGTGTTCAACAATAGTGTATAAATTATTCTTCCTCTTAACGATGCTCCTTTAAACGATACACTTCGTCTTCGGTAACTGATGTCCATCACATGCTGTTCCGGTTTTCATAATACATCCGTACATCTAAGCATATCATCTAAAACGTTTAGTAAACTCTGTGTTAACAAAGTACATCCGATTTTATCATTCTTTATATGCTATATGCATCGCCTAGTACCCTATTAATAATGTATTTATTTGAAAATTGAATATGTAAAAAGCGTAAAACGCTTGAAGACTACATATTCAAGTAGGCTTTAATAAATGTTTTGCTAATTGAATTTTTAATTAGTATAATTTAATTATGATAACAACTAAGGTGTCAGAACATGTCATAAATCACATCCTCTGGCTGTTTCCGAGGGCTTTTCAACACACACACACACACACACACATGCATAGCACAAATTCATCATACATACATCTTATATGTATCAGGGAATACATAAATAATATGCCAACAGCTCTAACTAAACGGTAAGCAGTTAACAAAGAGTAGATATGAGCAAAACAAAAATGCGTCCATATATATGTCTACGTATTTATATGAGTTGTCGCTTTAAAATCAAACAAAACAAATCAATTTATTTATCTGTTTATCAGTTTTTTTTTTGTTTATTAAGAAATATTATGCTTTTGTGGCTGGTTTGCCGTGGATTGTGAATATTGTGTATCTTGATTATTAAAAAAGGAATACGCAAAGTGTTTGCTTGAGCGAAAGAATTGCGATTTCCTAAACTGTGCTCACGTGCTCTGCACGGCAGTGTTGTCTGCAAGCTCAATAAAATTATTGGTAACGTACTACTTCCCAAGCTATTTAAGGCAATATTTCTTAATAGAGAGAGCGAGACAGAGATAGAGATAGATAGATTTAATATTGATCAAATTAATATAATTAACTGATAGTAGAAATTTCACTGAACCACTTTTTAACCTGTTAACATTTTTATTTGCTTTCGATAACAATAGTTGTTGGAAATTGAACTGTGTGCAGACATTTTTTTAAAGAGCAATTGTTGACATTGCTAATAAATATTAACGAAGCATAGTATATTTTAGATATAAAAATAACATAATCAACTTTCAATTCTTTTCGCTTTTTTGTGAACAAGTGAAAACATATCATAAATTCGAAAAAATAATAAGAGCGAAAGATTGTGGCGTAGAAGAAAGTTTCCAAATTTCTCTCTCTCTCTACCCCTCGATCTCTCTCTCTCTCTCTCCCCACTCACTCACTCTCTCTCTCTCTCTCTCTCTCTCTCTCTCTCTCTCTCCCCACTCACTCTCTCTCTCTCTCTCGCTCTGTAATGTCTTCACGATCGCAGTGATCTTGATATATATTGTGCTCCTTCAATTTAGCGCTTTATACCGAAAAATTTCTCTCTTTTGTTAAGCTTCTCATCTGACTTTGAAAATGGACTCAATCACATTGTGGATCAACTACTTCACATGTTCTTCTAAAATACTTACCTCTTCATTTGAAACTTATACGCATACACGCATGTACACTTGCTATCTTCACGCTAACACATGTGCTTCGCTATTGTATTACTCTCTCTGCACTGTATCCAGTTAACATCATTCCAAAAGGGGAAAAGAATCCCAAATATATAAAGTAATAAAGGTTTTGTAAAAATAAAATAAAATGAAATACGTAAAAGCACGCCCCCACCATTTCGCTTAATGCAATTAATTATTCATATAACGACATTTCAAAATATGTTGTTTTACCAGAAGGAATCAAAAAAGGAATGCGATCCGAACCATTCTCAACAGCGTTAGTGCTTGGGCCAAAGCACATAAGTATACTAAAACCTTTCAAAAATTTGACCTGTAGATTGAACCCAAGGATGAATGGACAAGCGGACAGATTGACAGACGAGCTTAGATCAATTTAGAAAATGATTCTGAATCGGTCGATATAATCAATTCCTTTTGATTGTTCCGTACATGTGCCCCAATTAAAAAACTCGAAAAAACGTACTTTACATAAAAGAATCATAGTTACGTAGGGAGCGCAATATATGTATATATGTGTATATAGATTCTCTCCCAAACTAAGCGATAACTTTATTAAGGGTCACGTAAGGAGGTTTGTGTTCTGATTAAACCTTTTCACAGTAAATCATTGTTTGTTGATTTGATGAATTTTAGAAGAAGAAGAATATGTCAAAACTTGCTTCACTTCAGTACCGGTTTGACTGCTATTTGAAAAATTAACAATTTGCAATATATCATAAAGAGTCATCGTTTTTTTTTTTTTTTTCAAACTTACCCGTTTTCTGATATTTTAAATGTTGTTAGTGAAGAAAATGCAGATTATTTTACTTCTTTCCCATATCAAGAACCAGTTCTTGTTGTTGTCGTTTGCTAACAATTTAAGTAATTATGTAGACGATAATAGTAAGGAGGGAGATGATTATGTGTTCATGATATCCGGCGGCTATAGGCCTAAGAGTGATTTTCTAACGAAGTCGGCTGTTTCAATACGTACACGGCAACCGACCAAATTTTTCGGTGATAATCATTTCTGCAATGGAGCTGTGGTATCGTGGAACATTGTTTTATCGGCAGCGCATTGCGTCGTAGAGTAAGTTCATTTTCGATGAAACATTAAAGAATTTCTCAAGGAAAGGAATGAAAAATATTCAAAGCAACACTTTTTTCTATTACACGTGCACAGTCAGTACGGAGTAGTGACGCGACCTCATCGATTATCTGTTATAGCTGGATGCTCGGGTCGTTTAAAAAAAACTATTACTTGCATGGAGTATAAAGTCTTAAGAATTGTACCACATAGTCAATTTCATCGACATCGCGGTAACGATATTGCTCTGTTAATTTTGGAAACTTCATTTCCAGCATCCAATAAAAAGATTAGTATCAGTTCATTGGCAACGCAGCGGCCGGCTATTGGTACAGTTTGTCAAGCCGTTGGATGGGGTCAAATATATTGGGTAAGTGATAGATTGTTGCATAGCGCAAGCGTATTGCTGCAAGGATGACGTATCGGTTATTTCGATTATTTTTAGGACGGCCCGTTTTCAGATGAAGCTATTTTTGTCAATTTGACCGTTACTAGCAACAATGAATGCATAGAAAATTATGATTATAATTTTGCGGACGATCTACTTTGCGTAATGGGTGCGACTTTTGAGATTGGTTTGTGTCGCGGAGATTCCGGTGCTCCCCTCTTTTGTAACAACAAATTGCATGGTATCTTATCAGAAGGTAAATCATGCAATTCTCTTCAGCCGACAACCTATTCCGCTGTTAGCGTCCACTATAACTGGATTCATCATGCGTCTTCCGCTCCTAAAGTACGTCTATCATTTATTTCGATTGTCATTGTTTACGTTTCATACAATGTCTTTGTAAAATAAAACATCTTTTTCCTTTTTGCGATATTCTTTGGGAAATGATATCTCTGTAAGCTATCAGTCGATGAAGGTGCAATGTAGAGGGAATAAAATTGAAAGCGTTAGCATGTATTGGATTTTAATGCTTCCAGTATTCACTTGATGAGTTTCATTGCATATTGTCTTTAAAAATTGTAGAGTCTCCCTTCATGGTGGTTGTGTTTCTTCTTGACTCCTTAAGCCAGTTGTAGTCCGTTATATTTAACGTAAGTAATAACACCAGTTATCTTTTAAAACGACCTTTTACAGAAACAATTTCCAGTTTAAGAAATATTACTAGTCTCTTTGGTCATCATCTTTGGAATTGGGGTTTGCAACACCGCCTTTACTTTAGTTATAATATTTATATTTACATCGTGCTTGTGAACTTGAAATCAAAACTCAGAAGAAATACCATAGCCCGCGCTATCACAACTACTCTATATTACGCGGACAGTTATTGGAAAAATTCAACAGCTTCCATCCTCCAATCTTCTCTATGGGCTATATGCAAAACGGTGCAAATCTCTGCCTTAAATTCCTTCTTCTTCTTCTATGGTCTCTCTAAATGTGATGATTCGATTGCATGAAGATAAACGCGTTTAGACGCCCAAGTATTATGATTATGGTTACCATTAATTTCCGCAACAAAATAAATTCAAAGATTAAAGTCTTGAAGCGCTCGCATCTAAGGCTATCGGTTTTCATTAAAACTCTACCGCCCAAGTATCAGGCATAAATTCATTCATTCGTTTCGTTGCATTCAGTTCTGCTTCAGTTCTCTGATATGACAAAGAAAAACTTTTTTAAAATACCACCTATTCATTCCTTCATCGAATGTAAACTAAATGCCAGTACTTGGAACGAATGTTACAATCTAATCACATAAACAAACGCAAGGAGAATCAATATGGTATATAGCGTGCCGGGCAAGTTATATGAATACTCTCGTTAATTTTTGATCAGAACAAACGTACATCCGTCCGTATATCTTTTCTGTATATTTTTCTTCTTCTTCTTCGTCTTCTTCTCCTTGTAAAGTTAAGAAAAACAACATTAGATGATTCATTGCTTTGCGTGGAAAAGATTCAATGAGGAAAATAAATTCATTTCCAAAACGGTTTGTCTTGTAGATATGAATTTACGATATTTGAAGTTGTTGGTTAAGGGTCTCGTATGTTAGCAAACAAAGAAATTATTATAAACAAAATTTTTTCTAATTATTTTAACAGTGTGAATATAGTACATACAATTTTACATGGAAAAGATGTATTTTGATGACAATACCTGAATGAAATGTTAACAATAGCAATTAAAATGTCCAGTAAACAAATGCAAATATCAAAATATTGATATATATATAGCTTGCGGTTCCGTCTTCCATAACTCCTCCATCAATTCAAATTCTTCTCTTGACAATAAAACTAAAATTAGCATAAAAATATGTTAATAACAAAACAATTGTTTAAAAAAAAAAAAAAAAAAAAAAAAAAAAAAATAAAATATAAAAAAAAACCTTAAAAATTGTTGCATATTTATTTTGAAGAAACAAAACAAAGCAAAAAAAAAAAAAAATGTTTTATGTATATGCAAGGTGATGTACCGTCTCTCATCATACGTTAGATTACAATTTTTTTATTTAACTTTATATGCTTTACACGCTTCACATGCATACACGATAACGAAGAAAGAAAATCTTACAGATGGTGTTTGCTACTGCAGTTTACTTTTCTCTTAATTACTTTATATGCGCATCGGTGTTTCGTTTTTTCTCTATTTTTTTTTTTTTTTTTTTTTTTTTTTCTTTCTTAATCTAGCAAACACTCGTATATTTGTATAACAAATTATCAGCACAACGCCTTCTATATTTTTTGCTAGAAAAAAGACAAACATATAGAACAAAATGTAAATGAACATGAATTGCTGCTGTGGGCATTGTTCAGATTGTTCAAGCATTAAACGAATTTATTTTAAAATTTTAGTGTTTTTTTTCTCTTTTGAACAATGAATATTTTTTCTTGGAATTCTGAGGCTTTAAGAAAAATAAGTATTTTATCCAGTCTTGAAATATATAAATATTTGCGGTATGCTTCAACTGTGGCGAACCAATAATGCGCATTACTCTTCACTAGGATTTCATGAGCCACTATTTTGCTTCGCCTTCGAAAAACAGATGATAGACGGATGGGTAAAGACGCAAAAATAATTTAACACTATTTGTATTTTACACTGATCTGGATTTGTTGAACTTTGGCGATTTAATATAATTGAGACCAATCTCTCACAGGTTTAGAATAAGACTACGCTTTAATATATGCAAGTTAGGTTGCAATTAGAGAACAAACAGATCGTTAGGCATCGTCTTTAACAATTGTGACAGACGACAACTGTTTCGATTTCATTTATTTTGAATGTACAAAACAAGTAAGCAAAAGCCAAATTGTGTGTGTGTGTGTGTCTTTTAAAGCTTAAATAAAATGCTTGTAAAGGGCAATCAATGACTTTCAAGGTTTGCCAGTTAGGCTTATCGGAAAAAATTTCTTCTCCTTTTTAGACGATTAGCAAACACATCAGAATAAAATTTGAAATTTGGTAATAAATTTCCGGTGTCCACTTACTCTTGCTTCTCTATGGGGGAATCAATCACTGTTCTGTCAGGATATACGCTATCGCTCTAAATCGTTTCAGTGACAAAGATACCTGATGCTTCAAGTTCCAGATGCTAAGTATTCCTTACAATTTTCCTGATTCTCCAAGTCCATGAAAAGCCTAGAAACGATTTGGGAAATGTAACACTAATTGCAATAAGATCGAAAACCTAACACATACGAAACTTATTACAGTAGCACATGTAAAACAGGACAGCCATCCATGGCACCATATGTTCAGCGTAATGTTTGCAATTTTACAAAACGAATCGCTTAATGACCGCTGAACGCATTCAAATAGCAATAACTTACTACGAAAATTTTGATGCTGTTCTGAAGGAGGCATGTTTCGTCTATTGCGAACAGATTACGTTCGACATAATCGTCCATTTGAGCGCACCCTAGGCACAATTGTGAAAATATTTAAAGAAACTAGATCTGCCACAGATTTATTAAGATCTGTGCATAATCGAATCGCATACTCCAACTGAATAGTGTGGTACTGTTGGTGCAAGTACATATATATATATATATAGAAAAATGCTTCATTATTTTACGGATATGTAGATGGAAGACAACACTAGTGCTACATTTACTGCTATATTGAAGTTGTTTTTCCATTTTTATTAATGTACACTCCAACCCATTTCTTTGCGGGTTTGTGTAAATAAATATTCGTCTCACCCATGCCTACAATTTTCTTCAGTTGTTGTATTACGATTTCTTTTCCAAGCTCAGTGGATTCTCGCAAACATCAGCTCAACTACTGCAATCAATAACTGCACAATAAAGGCTTTCACAAGCGGATTAATGTCCCTAAGTGATCAACCGCAACCGTTTTTATAATGACTCCAAATGGTCGCTTGCAAAGTTATCGGAACATTATGACAGATGTAATAAGAAACTTTGCTAATTTACAAGCACACTTGAACATGGTTGGACGTAATTAAGTTGTAAATTTTGAGAAAATATTAAGAGAGGAACTAAGGCAAGCAAATATGAAAACATGAACTCGTATGGAACAAATGATAATGACTTACTCCTATGAGAAAAATCGTAAATGAAATATTTTGCATTAGTATTTTCTTATGTCAACATATTCATACATGTTTTGCTCGTATATTAGAAATGAAAGCGAAAATTTAAATTTATCTTTAATTAAATATCTTTTTCTTTAATAGGCAAAAAAAAAAAAAAAAAAAAAAAACAAAAAAAAAGAAGGAAAATTGTTTTATATTTTATTACTTACTTTCTTTCTTCCAACAAATGGTTTTTAATTCACAGTAATTTCATGTGTATATTCTCACTATTTTTACTTTACTCTTTCATGTTAATACTCTTGACCTCAATGGTCTCATTAGTTGTATAAAATATGTCTGCGAGAAGGTCAGGCAATTCAGAAGACAAAACCAAGAAAAGAAAAATGAAGACATAAATGAAAAAAACACCCCCGTGACTTGTACATGGCCATGTAGATATATATTATCGCAACTACACATATGTGCCTATGCAATCAGCATAATAAAGATCCCGTGAGGCAACTTTATCCACCTCAAGGCGAATCTTGGTTATCGTCGAATGTTAATCCGAAAGTCGTACTTTAAAGCATACTTATCGGTTGCAATGATTTTTCAAGATCCAATCATTTCTATTCAAATAAATGTGCAAAAAAAAAAAAAAAATAATAATAATAATGATTATAATAACAATAACAATAACGTCGTTCTTCTTCTATAAACCACATTAGCCAAATGGACTAGTCAATCTCAGAGCACTGATCAAGAGTAGTCGCTTAAAAATTTTTCAAATAAATGTTGCAAATGAACCATCGTACTAAGTATACTTTCATCCTGTCATCAGGTAAATGAAAGTATTTAGACGCAGATACATGGCGAGCGTTTGCGACATAGTTCGCTTATTAAATGGAATTTATATCTCATGCATATAGAAGCGTAAAAGGTGGGTGTGCGCACTTGGTCTCGTACGTAGAAATGCATCGTTTGTGTAGGTGTATAAAACAATAGGATCGCTTAAAAGCTTTCTTATGCGCATTTCAAACAAACAAACAAACTAAAAAGTCCAAAATCCTCAAATGCAAGATCATCGAATAAAATATTTCCACTAGAATAATATTTCACGCCCACTTATCTCATTTCAATATTAAAACAATCTTGTGATCATGAGTATTGAGCAGTCATAGAACCAATCAATTTCCAAGTCCACCAACTATAACTATAACTATAAAGGAAATTAAAATGAAAAAATTTGTTATCACATATACGGTTCCTGGATGTGCTAACTCCACTCGAATTAAGATTCTTAACTTAACGAACTACTAACTTCATCAGATCGACTTCCGAAAATAAATTCATGGTTTATGGAAAGCAATTATCGTCGCACTTAAATGCTTGAAGTTTAGGTGGTGAAGTTCGGAAATGGGTCGGCTTGTGATTGATTCACTACAATGCATATGTATGTATATGATGAGTTGATATTTTTCATTTTCTTACAAGACACAAATTCATTCCGTCTTACTTCATGCTCGATATTACTTTTCTGTAGATGTTTTATTGTTTGCAACCGAGTAAACGTTGCTTGCAAGCCTTAAGCTATTTCCGTTATTAGCAATATGTTGTACAAAAGTGTTTCATCATATCGGAAATTAACTCAACTCCTTATTACAAGTACCTTTCGCATAACGACTTAAACATGTATAGATTGAATTCAATGATCATTGCATTAGAAATGCAAGTAATGTACGTGCGAACGTAAGTTCACTTTAAGAAATATTTAAACTTGAATTTTCGTTCCATCGGACAGTAATTGTAATCATTTTTCATTATAGTACAATTACTTCCCACCAACTTATTGTTCCGTAGCAATTGCGAGTTTAGTTTCCGATTTTTTCTGTAAAAATAGCGCCAACTTCAGTTCTACTTTTTTTTTTTTACGAGTGCCAACTTTATCTTAATAAAGTAGGGTGCAATTCTTAAGAGGGACGATTGTTTTTGCTATCACTTTTTTCATTTTTCTTCGACTTATTTTAAAGCACATATACCTGAAGGTTACGAAAGGGAGAAAAGATTTCAAATCGAATCGTAACGAAGACATAGCATATATACGTAGCGAATTTCCATCGTTCGCAATTCGCAGATATTTTCCCGATGCATGCATATCCAATAAGTAGCTTTTATTGCATTTTATGTTAAATGAATGGTAGACGTTCCAAACTCGTTCTTAAATTTTTGATTCATTCCCGATTTGGATATGCGACGTATATTGCTTACATTAATTTCGAAAAGAGAACAAAAACACATCGTAAAGTCATGGGTCACCTGTCATGATAATTACGAATAATCTACAGACGAAAGGAGAAGCAGCAAGTGGTTTGCGGAATATCGCAGCAGAGATTTTAATCTTTGAAATTATGTCCGCTCACCCGTTAATGATTTCTCCGCTCAAGCATATATTCTAGGAAACCGCGATACTGTGCATTAAATGAGATCCTTTTCTCCTTTTGTATTAAATATCTTATCCTTGAAATTGGCTCAGTTGTCAATAAAAACTTTGGATGTAAGAATAAACAAAATTCATTTGAATTCCTATAAAGAAAATTTTTTCATTTAACATAAAGGAAATTTTTTCATATAACATCGTTTGTCATCGAAATGTGACATGACAAATATTTTTCTTTACGATATCGCTTTAAAAAAGGAAATTTAAATTGAAAACATAAACATGTAGAGTATGAAGAAGA